CCCCAGCAGCCCGCAAACCCTCCAAAACTCTCCAAACGCTCCAAACGCTCCAAACCCTCCAAAACCCGCCAAACCCTCCAAACACCGTCCCCAGCAGGCACCTCAGATCCACAGCAATGACTTTCTATGGGCCTCAAAGCTGCCGTTTGCCAGCCTGCAAAGGATCCAAACTTCCAAAATTCCAAACACTTTCCCCAACATGCACCCTAGGGCCAAGGCAACTTCCCTAACAGGCACCCCAGGGCCAGGCCACAGCAATGGCTTTCTTAGGCTTTCAAAGCTGCCGTTTGCCAGCCCGCAAACCCTCCAAAACTCTCCAAAACTCTCCAAACCCTCCAAACGCTCCAAACCCTCCTAAACCCGCCAAACCCTCCAAACACCGTCCCCAGCAGGCACCTCAGATCCACAGCAATGACTTTCTTGATGCTTTCAAAGCTGCCTTAACAGGGGGCCAGGGCCACAGCAATGACTTTCTATGGGCCTCAAAGCTGCAGTTTGCCAGCCTGCAAAGGATCCTAGGGCCAAGGCAACTTCCCCAACAGGCACCCCAGGGCCAGGCCACAGCAATGGCTTCCATCCATCCATCCCCATCCATCTATCCATCCATCCATCTCTCCCTCTCCTCTCTCTCTCTCTCTCTCTCCCTCTCTCTCTCCCTCTCTCTCTCTCTCTATCTCTCTCTCTCTCTCTCTCCACAGTCCCCCCCCAATAAAGGGGGGTCGGCGGCACCTGGGCGCTAGCCCATTCTATATGAAATTGAAGTACGCATCCAAGGTCGGACCAGCTTTGACTGACAAGCATCTGGGTCAACAAGGACATCATCTCCTTTTTGCTTAAGTCTTATCACCAAGAATGAGGCTTTGCGGCATCAACCACCAGGCTCCAACCATGGATGAGGATTTGAGCAATTCAAACCGCCTGGAGAGTGGGAAATACAAACATGATCTTTTCCAAGAATGAAACTTCAAAAGTGAAAACACAAACCTTCCCACACTATCACGTTTAAAGCCCGTGAACTCAAAATTTCGGAGGAACTGAACAGAAGCAGCGTCTAATATGTTTTAATAAATGGGCAAACGGACATCCTCGCACATGAAAGAAACACTGGCACAACTGCATTAAATATGGAGGTCCGGTTGCAACTTGCAAGTACAGAGATATAGAATGATATAGATATAGATGCAATGCTGGGAACAGTGATTTCAATAATACGCAAAACAGGTTCAAAAGTGTAGGAGTACAGTATACGTGTTTCATCGTGTTATATCGTGTTTCCATTGGGTGTAAATATGTATGCACAGAAACCCCTGTAGCACCTGTATATATCTGTATATATTGGCTAGATCCCTGTAGATTCATATTCCAATGATATCGATATCGCCATTTTACTTAGATTTATCCCATATCTTAGCCTCGTCCCTTTTGCCACTGTTCTGCTAGCACCTTATGGCCCAGTACCGGCCTTCTCTTCCATTTTGCACGGTTTCACCCTTTGCACTTCCCGTTGCTCTAACACCTGCGAGCAGTGAAAACATGCGACAAGGCCGGCCCCTCTGCGGCTGTTAGGGCTGGTTCTCTGCTTCAAGTCAAGCTTTGAACCCATCCCCAAAAAATATGTCACGATTGTAATTGGAGATCTTTATCTCGGGTAAGAATGATACAAGTAGCAATATTGTGTGTAATATATATATATATGTATAAATCTATTTATATATTCATTTATTGAAGCATTCAATGAATTTATTTACTTGTTTACATGATCACACCCCAGAATCTGATCATAAATAAACATAGGGCATATATATTTATACACCACATTTATCATCTATATCACTCAAACCATCTGTCAATTTCTATCAAATTCTTTGGCTTCTCCAGTTTACCTTTAAAGAAGAAAACTCAGACTGCAACAAGGCAGCTCCGTTCTGCATAGGGTCGTGCATCCCCTCTAAGACTAATGACCCATGTCTTGTTGATCTTGTTGCTTCAGCCACCTGATGATCCGGTCCCCTGTAAAAATCCCCTTATCAAAAAATAACACTTAAAGATCCATCTTTCTGGTTTTATTGGAATATATGGAGGTTTACTAACATGGGGGTACCCTGGGTACCCTCAAATCATCAATATTTCATAATATTTCAAAGGACTTTCCACTTAAACCATCCTGCGATTGGGGTACCTTTGTTTTCGGAAAGCTGCATATTTGGAAGCCGCTGTCACAAAGCTGAGAAGGGTTCGCCTCTTCAAAGTCCCAGTAGTCCGGGAATCTGCTGGGATCCAAACTCCTCAACATCCCGCGCAACAAATCGAACTAGGCTAAGAGATTCCTGGGCAAATTTTATTAATTCACTAACCTGATTTCTTTTGGCCATTTTGGGATGATTTCCTCTTATTAACCATGATTCCGGTAAGGGAGAACAGTGAGGTCGCTACTTATAATTTACCCAGAAGAGATGGGTTTGTAGTGTATATGTCCGCATTCTCTCATGAGTTGAGAAGAAACTAAATCCCTGGGTAGGGTCATGGTGGGGGAAAACGAGAACGGAATCATCTTTTACTTACTTACCACCAAGTATTTTGATGCGGTTGTACCTAGCCAAATCTTGCAATGTTCCCAGGGTATTGAGTTCAACAATGCGGAACACATGTCAAAACAACACCTGCATGACGAGTTTTCATGAGTTTTCACCACGAGTTTTCCACCCAACAAGTTCATGAGCTTTGCGGAAGTCCTTTGCCCTGTTCGAATATGAAACATCTACTCAAATCTCTGCAGGGTTTGTCATCCCTTTGGGGCGTCGTTTTGGGTCGTGGCAATCCCACCATAATCCCACCATCGTCGCCCATCGCCCAAGTCCCACTGCGTCCCCGGACTCTTGGGCAGGGTTGACACTTTTGGAGACTGGCAGGGCACGCTTATCTCCTGGAGTCTATGCCGCTACGATTTCCGCGCAAAATGGGAATCGGGATGGAATCAGGATGGCAGGAACCCAAGGGAATTGAAGATTTTATGAAATCACAGGCATATGAAAATGATACAACAAAGTAACTTAAAATAGAATCAGTAGCGAAGTTGCCCTTCTTGGAATTTCCACTGTAGGTTTAGTGGTTTAAGGGGCTACTGGCTGTTGGGGGTGGGAAAACCTAAGCAGCTGCTGCACCTGGTGAGCGAATCTTAAGGGTGTTGATGCCAAGTTTGTGAATTTCAGTTGCTATAATAGTTCATTCCAACATACGGAAAGAATATACATTTATTTAAGTATATGTATACAACATAATATACGTGTATGCGCGTGTCAATGTAATTTAATGTGTATATATATATATGTGTGTGTGTGTGCGTGTATAAATTGTATAGATATATCATATACATATCAAATGCTTATATTACACCGAGAGAAAGAGAGACAAACATACACTTACTACGTTTAAAACATCTCCACCGGCCGAAGACATCTGCCATCATTTGACCCAAGGGGTCGTCCGCTCCATCATATCGGAAGATGACTTGCTGCAGCCGATTTTGTCCGAACTCACCCATGTTGCAGAGGGAGGACACCTCAGCGACACCAAGACTTTTTGCAAAAAAAAACTGGCTTTAAGGGAGTCAGACCGCATGCAAACCTTTCATCCGGGCATTATCATTGTTCATCCATATTCATCATCTTGACACACACACACATATATATATATATATGATCATATATGCTCATTGGTTCATCGAGAAAGTGAAAATCGCATACTCTCCAATGGTTTTCCCATTGAAAACATGATTTGCAGACGGTGGATCTTCCATATCGACGTTCGTTTCAAAAGGAAGCCTGTCTGGCCCAATGGGATGACTCCCAGAAAAATCCACTGGAAATCGAAAGGCATCGAAAGGCCAAGTGCGAATGGTCTATATGGGGTTGATATCTTTATAAAAAGGCTGGAAGACAGTTATTTACTGAGTATATTGGGAGGATGTCATTACATTCAAGTAAAATAATGTAGACATATTTGGAAATATATTTGGAACTTCGGAACTCGTGCCCATTTTCTCAACCCTTACCTAACTTGAAGTAAACTTTCAGCAAACACGGCCCCGGCCACAGCTGGCTTCACCGCCACGGCGCAATGAAACTCCAGCCCAAGCGATCCACCATCCAATCCTTGGAGAAATATACAGGTCCCTGGGGTCCCATCATGTCCCATCACTGGGCACTGGTCCGAAAAAAAAAACGTGGCATGTTGAAAAAATCTACAACTGTTACCCTCTGGTAAATAAACATAGACCCTGAAAATGACAATTTTTTAATGGTTAAAATTTTGTCATTTTCAGGGTCTATGTTAATTTACCAAGAAGGTTGATCATAGTGACATATAATAATGACATAGTGTCCTGACAACCGGATGATCAGGTTTTTCAATAAGGATGAGGAAAAGGATATGATGAGGATGGGTATGAATGAGGACGAGGATGAGTGAGGACGAGAATGAGAATAATAAGGATTAGGGTGAAGATGAGGACATAGGACGAGGATGAGGGCGATGAGGAAGATGAGGATGACGAGGATGATGATAAGGATGATGATAAGGGTGATAAGGAAAAGGAGGAGGAGGATTGTGATGATGACGATGACGATGACGATGACTATATCCATGGCCATGCCCATGGCCAAACATTTATTCATTTCAAAATCTTTCTTGTTTTGGTGGGTGTCCAGGAAAATTGGCCATCAATGGTTGGGTTCTTGCGTGTTCGGGTGTCCCGTGTCCCTTTCTTATGTTCTTATCAGCTACGTCCCCATTATTACATGGATAGATCTTGTATGATATCGCAAATGACTAAAGCGCGGCAAGGCCCCGGGCGCAGCTGGTTTCACAATATAGCGACCCCAAACTGTGCATGGTGGGGACCATACCCATGTGTCAGAAGTATCATGAGTTGGCTGGTCTGCCAATGGGAGGCCTAAGTTCATTAAAACATGCTACATACCCTCTGGTAAACTAACATAACAATGGAAAATCACATTTTTTAATGGGAAAATCCACTATAAATGAACAATTTTCAATAGCTATGTCAGATATGTTAAATTACCAGAGGGTTCATTACCAGAGGGTTCTGCTGCAACTGTTCTCAAACAGATCATCTCAAGGAATCAATGTCATTCAATGTCACCATCCGAAGCTATGCAGCAGACGCAAAGCCGCATTGTCCATTGAGCTAAGTTGTTCTCGAATTTCCCCCTGGCGGCAATTCCATGGCCCGTTCGTCTTTCCCGGATCAACATGTCGATGCATTCGGCACGTATGCCAACATACACTACACATACACTGTCACTGTAAAGGTAGCCATATGTGAGTGTGGAAACCCATGTTGAAGCATATGCGTTTATCATTTTAAAAAATGCCCTTTATCAATTACGAGTGACTGGTGACATGCACATGTATATCACTGAGATTCCTCGTGTGCAGAAATCCCACCTGCACAGAAAGACGTTGCAGTTGTATTCTTCCTTGGCAAAAAGGATGTGATTGGTACAAGTAACCGATCCTTGCTGAATGATATCTCTCAAATCACTGATATCAAAAGCAATCCACAAATATCTTTTTGTTGAGATACCCAGGGAAAAAGAGAAGTAATATGCCTAGGTTCATTGTTTTTGCCTACGATAATCGTGCCCTGTGTTTTAAAAACTCCAAATATTATATACATATGTATAATTATATATATATTATATCATGAAATTAATTACATAATCAATATATATATATATGGATATTATGCATGTTATATGTATTTGTGTGTTTTAGACACATAATATATAAATATATATATGTATGTATAAAAAATATATACTGTATATACATGTTAAATATACAGTATGTGTTATATTTATATTTGTTAAATATATGTTCTGTATAGATATATATATATATGTGTGTGTGCGTGTGTTAAATATATACAGGTCATATATATATATATATACACACGTGTTGAATATATGTTATATGGAATGTTACACACATATATATATTTATATAACATGCTATATATACCATCATATACCTAACCAACAAGACCCTTGTTTTTTTGGTCAGGTTTGCCTGCAAACATCGGGCTTACCTACTGTGCTGGTCGAAAACCCTGGGTTTCCATTTAAAACCCGGGGTTTTCAGCAAAACCGGGTCAGACCATCTGGAAACGCTGCCCAGACTGCCAAATATTCCCACCTCACTAGAATTTCCAGGATTTGTTACACCTTTTCTGGTATTTTTTTTCATGTTTGATGCAGACCCATGATTAACCCGTGATTAACCCGTGACTACCCTACAGAGACCCTGGGTTTGGACCGGGAAACCTTTGGGAAAACCCCATGATTTTCCAAACCCGTGACGAAACCATGATGGACCCATGATATACCCGTGAAATTAAACGCGGGTTGAATGCCTCAAAACAGCATCCTGTTTTGGTTGGTTTTTGTTGTGTTTTCTTGAAATCGAAGTGGCTTGTGTTTGCTGGTGTTTGGAAACAAAGCTCCTCTGTTGGATGGTTCCAAAAAAGTAACTTGGCCAGAGCTGCCAAACCCTGAGTTTTGCTTGAAAACATTGGGCTTCCCAGCTGGCCCTGCAAATTTCTCGGGTTTTGTTGGTTAGGGTATATACATATATATATATATGTGTATATATATAAATTATGTTAAATATATATAGATATATATATGTGTGTTCTATATATATATATACGTGTATATATATATATATACAAATTATATATATAATATACAGTATATCATCTATGGGAACAATATCTCCCCAATGGCAGGAAACTGCAAGGTTTAATACGCAAACCTTGCACAAGATCAAATCAAGGGTGAGCAATTCGCAAGTCTGATTTTGCAGCCTTCAAAGCCTAACAAACAAATGTAAACATCTGATGATGTCATACAACAAATAGGTTTGCCTAACATGATTGGCTGGCGAAAAAAGAAGTGCTATCCAACACAGCCTTTATATGATGTACATCTTTCGAACATGTGGACCTCCCATGTTTTGCATAGTTGGTCAGCAAATCCGCAAAATGTTATTCAAAGTCCGGAAAAGAAAACAACAGCTCTTGAGTTCCATGGATTCTCGTAAAGATGGGAACATATTCGAAGATTGATTGCTTAACTTCTCCGGGTTGGATCCGCATGTGATCCGTTTACGTCTACAATTCTCCAAGATTTTGCACGGATTATAATTACTTCAACCAAATATATACTTGTTATTTTTTTGATTAATCTGTGCGAAGATGTATCAAACATGCTGCACACTTACATAATTTTCCCTGACATTCCAACTGTTTACCATCATCTATCATCACCAACCAATTGAAACAACTAAGTTGGGATGTTCACCATTTGGAGGTTTCCTAAAATGGGGGCTACCCCCAAAATCATCCAAGTCACTAGACCATGACCTTGTACTAATCGCCACGGTGACTTGGGGATCCACCCTTTTTAAAAACCCCCAATTTATTGACAGCCTCCACTCTCCTCTGTGGTTATTTAAGGTAGGGATAACGAAAATCGTCATCTTGGAAAGCTGTAAATCATCATTTTGATCATCTCTAGTTCATCATTTTTTTTAATGGGCCATTTTCATCCATTTTCCAGTGTGCAAAGTGCCAAATAACCATAACGGGATCCGTATTGTTAAATAATGTTCACCTACGATTTTTAAACCCACCCTAAATAAAGCTAACCAGAGCCCCAAAACAAATATTAGATTATTAGATGATCCCTATTTATAAATCATAGGTGAACATTAACCATACCCATAGGATCCATGTATGCTATATATGCTAACATTTACATTGAACATTAACCATATGGTAAATCCCATGTTAAATCGGCTCAATGCCGAGGATCTTCTCCTGACAGTCCTGCAGCCTGCCCACCGCCCAGATAGGAGGTGACAAAGGTCGCGAATTCCTGCGACAGATAGGACAGTCGATGACAGTCGTAGCCGTATGGAAAAAACATGACGAATCAGCTGTAAATCAGCTGTAAACCAAAGAAACATATGGGAAACACGAAGAATCAGAGAATCAATGGAAAAATCAGCTTGAACATGGACGAATCAGCTATAAATCGGCAGTGGATGGTGGTTGATGTGATCTATAAACCATCGATGATCATCCGGGCATCGGGGAGGTCCGCAGGAAGAGGTTGAAGCACCATAAAGATATGATACCCCAAGACCACCATGAAATATCACCACCAAATAGATCAACCAGGCTTGATCAATCCTGGGTTTCGATTGCCCCCCAAAAAGCCCAACAGTTTCTCTTCTTTTGGTGACTTAAGTCAATGGATTGCTTTAGGGGAACATTTTGCAGGAAAACCCCCTTTTTTTAATGGTAAGAACCATGGTTTCCTGTATTTTGTTCCCTTAAACCAATCTGATATGATCCACATCGACTCTTTTTTAGCCGCTTGAAATGGCGCCAGGTGTTTACTATCAAACTAACATAAACTAACTGAGCCCGAGAATTCGCCAGTTTTTTTTGGGAATGTTATCTGTCAATCTGTCAATCAGACCTGAGTTGAGTCTCCTTGCCTGGAGAGACCAGAAATTCCCAAGGTCTTTCTGCTGCTGGAATCCAAATTTTCACAGTTTATAATGTAGTATACCGATTAGTGTGATGGACCTCTATTGTGGATTTTTCCAAAATTATTGAGTATCTTGTGGATGGTGGGGGTGGGACTCTATTGTGGAAAGTTTTTTCTCAGATCCATTTTTTTTTCAGGAGGAGCTTTATCCACCTTTATACACCTGTCTTTGGGTAAAGCTGGTCCATTTACTTTAGAAAGCCATATCCATGTTAAAGCCTTGAAAATGCAAGGTTTCCCAAATAATTAGATGCCTTATTAAACCCTTATTAAAAAACAGCACCCGAAAAAAAATCAAGGGGGTACCCCATGAGTGACCCAGATCCTCAATAATGTAATTGTTTCGATGGCACCCTATTTGGCACACAAACTTTTTGGGCTTTTTTTTGATTGAAAATTGATAAGGAAAATCAATTGACAGTAGATTGATGTCAATTGAACTCCTTACGTAAGTTGACTATCCTAAAAATTGTTTGGGGGGGCCAGAAAATGGCGAGTTATTGAGTAGCCTAAAATTGTTGAGGGGGGGAGTGGAGGGCCCACACTAATCAGTAGCCAACATTATGTTAAATCATTTAAGATGTCCCACTATCATCTATTATCATCTCATTGGTTGTGACTCAAATGCTTCGTGGGTTGAATCTGAAAAATGTTTCCGGGCAAACTCAAAAAAAAACGATGTTTACGCCCCTTTCAGCTCTTGTCCCCCCATCATCATGTCGAGTCTCCATATAAATTCCCATTTCATGTAAGAGAGTCTGATATTTCCATAAAAATATGAATAGATTCCCATTTGAGAAGCTGAAACACCTTAAAACCTCTATGTCCTCAGGGTTTCCAGACAATTACCCTCTGGTTATTAAACATAGCCATGGAAAATGGTCCATCGAAATAGATGGTTTACCTTTTAAAAATGGTGATTTTCCATGGCGAACTGTTAGTCATAACCAGAGGGTACCTCCCACTTTTTTCCAGCTCTCCTCCATCGCGGTGACCAGCTCCGGACTCTTCTTCCCTCGGTCGCTGCCGGGCCCGATGCCTCTGATGCGCAGCTTCCTGGGGCGCTGAGCCAGGAAATCACGAAGCTGGGAAATGTTAGACAGATGTTACTTGAAACATCATGAAACTGTTCAACTTAACATAATTTGTTGGATTGGCATTTTGAATATTGAGCAACGAAATGATTTGGAGTGATTTGGTCAGCTGGACACTCCGTGGTTTTAACATGTCCTAAACTCTGTTCGGGCACCGAAAACAGAATCCACAAGGTGGCCATGACCACCAGCTGGCTTGGCTTGCAAGTGGTTGAACTAACGCCATCTAACGCCAAAGCCACATGCTCCCATATCAATTGGCAGGATTTTAAGATATTTTTTCAGAGATTTTCCCTGGTGATTTACCGCTAGAAATGTATAGAAATGGCTGGGTTTCCTTCGTTTCCTTCAAGAAACGACGTGTTTTGTGCTTTTTTTGGTTGGACCATCCGACCGCCAAGATGCTGATTGGCAAGCACCTCGTAGCGAACGCTTGCCGAAGGCGTGTCTGAATATAGGAGATACCCCAAAGCCCAAAATCCAAATGGGCCATGTACCATCAAATAATAGGGAGAGAGAGAGAGAGATAGATAAATAGATAGATAGATAGATAGATAGATAGATTATATATATACAATATATAATTTAATAGGGATAATGATCATTGAATTTTGATTTTGGGGTATATAGTATATACACTATCAATCCCCATCAAACAAAGCCATAAGGTTGAGCAATCCCGGCATCTTTGGTGATCAGTCCATGTCAGTCCTCTTCCTTCATCAACTAAGGATTGCCACATATTGCCACCGGAGTTTCAAAGAAAATGCGTCAGATCCATACCAAGAACCAGTCAACATCCGTCCTTTGGATGGCCAAATAACAAAAATCCGCACACTCCACCTGAAAAGAAAAGGTGGCACTGGAGAATCTGGCATTTATAGATCGTTTTCCCAGCCATAAACTTCCATTCATGCGGGATTTTCCATTCCCATGTTTGATTACCAAAGGGTAAATATATGATTCTGTTTGTGGCTAAGACATGACCCACGACATGGATGTCGTCACCCGCTGTTTACCCAGTAACATCCCATGCCATGACTAGTGGCATAAAGCTGCCGAAAAATCATCACTAGCATTATAGCTGGTACCACTTACCCATTGTTTACAATCAAAACAACAACTGCAAAGATTTTTTTGGATGGTACCATCACGTAATCAGCCAGCGTAACTCCAGGATGCCACACTTCACCACCGGTTTCGGTACCACCTTCCATCCCTGCCTGGGTGTGTTCCTCGTCGTTGAAGAACTCTGGATCCCCCTCACCGGCGTAGAGTTCGACGAAGACATGCGGCTCGATGGTGCCCACCTTGCAAGGCTTGGGGCAACATGGTCTGCAGTGAAGTTATGTCACAGTGCCACAGCAACAGGTGAATTTGATGCTACTTAATGTAAGCCTTACTTTCCGAAGTAGGGGCATCACAAATCACAAAGTTGAGTTCCACTAGTGTGTTCAGTAGACTTCACGACTTCACGCCCAGCTACAAACAGCCACTTTGCCCATCTGAAACTACGAAGAGAAGTCGAACATCATTGTACATCATGGGGGAACAATCAAAATCATTCAACAACAATGGAAAAGAACTCATCCTAAACTGGCCACCATTTGATAAAATGATATATAATGTAAAGATCCAGCTCAATAAAATCACCATATCTATCCATATCTCAACATATCTATCCATACTATTTCAACCATGAATCTAACTTTTGAGGTAGTTTGTATATATATATATAGCTCACCCCTTCCTCCATTTTACATCATGTTTTGTATACTGCTTGGCAGTATACAAACACCCCTCTGAAAAATCATGGAGTGAAGTTCGTCAGTTGGGATTTTATTTTCACTTCCCAAGAGATGGAGTTCGTCATAATCCAGCCATGTTCCAGTCACCACCAAGCACTGGTCACCTCTCGCATCCCTTCCCTGACGCCTCCGTGCGGCCGGGCCGGAAGAGCAGCTGCTGCTCGCGGCACCAGGTACCGTCCTCCAGGACCTGCTGTTGGGAGGCCACCTGAATCTCCTCAGGGCTGGGAAGGGCATGGAAAAAACCCACCAGGGAGATGAAAATATGGGCAAAACATATGATAAACATCGGAAATACATATGAAAAATCGGGAACACCATGGAACACCTATAAAAATGTGGTGGAAAATTATGGGAAAATCTCTGGGACATTTGCATGGGAAACTCCGGGGGGACGACAGGGATATTTGGGGATGGGTCAAAACCTATGAGTTACCATCTGGTTATTTAACATAGCCATGGAATATCACCATTTTTAATAGGTAAACCATCTATGAATGGGCCATTTGCCATGGCTATGTTAAATAACCGGAGGGTATTATGAAATTACCATATATGATCCATATGACTGGAATAAACTTCCAGCTATACCAGCTATGACTTAGGGTACCCAAAAAGGGTACCAGGCTTTTGACCCATAAGAACCATCACTAAGGCGTTCCCAGCAGCCCAGCCCTGCAACTCAAAGAAGGTCACCACGTCTGCAGTGGCACGAAGCATGTTGAGATCCTCCGGAGGCCAGGGCTTAGCCGCTTAGCCCGGCGAATCCAAGTGAATGACGAGTGAATGACTATATATAATGGGCCATGGATATCATAAGATAAATGCTTATGTATATATGTATACATACCACATATAATATAATATAATAATATTATGTATAAAGGGGGTAACAATGGAAGTTGATTGGATTACAATCAAGCAAACACATTTGAGATTTTGGCCAAAACAAGAATACATGCGAGCACAAAGGATGCAATCATTGGATAGTGATAGTAACAGGCTTGATTGGGATTGTAATCAACTACATCCATTTGGGATAAGTACACAGGGGCTGGTTTGCTATACCATTTGCCATCACGCACCAAGTGGGGAATTGCCTGACCACTATTTTTCGATCAACCAGTCAGTGGTGAAAGGACATCTACCAAACTCAAAGAGAAAACAACACCAAACTGACACACGGTGAATGATAACAATAATAGTCCCTTCATGATTCATATCAATTAGATTTAGATCATGAATATTAATAGTGTCAGTCTAACAGGGGACTATTAATATTAATATACACATAACAATACCCCTCTAACAACAATTTTGGTTTAGATTGGTGTAGTATCACTCTGGGGGATGTCTCTTACCATCCTCTATGACCTCCACCAGTCCTCCACGTTCCACGAATACCTGGCAGAGCACAAGCCCCAGATTTCACATGACATGTCAAGACAGAAACTAGATTCCAATGGAAATTAAACAGAATGATACGCTAAAGGAAGTCAAATATAGATAATATAATATATATATTTATACATATATGTTATACGTACACACACACATATATATATATATATAATATATTTATGTATAAATGCAGGTATATGTATAATGTATAGTTGTCTGCCAGCCAAAAAAGCCAACCGCACGTGTTTCGCTCAGTATTCCACCGGCGCATCGGCTGGACCCCAAATCAGCCGCCTTCTGCAAATGGTCTTCTGATCCCCGTCCCCCTCGCTGAACTGCCCGGCGCGTTCCTAGCCGTGTCCCGAGGATGGCCACCAGGATGATAGACTGCTACACATGATGCCCCACCTGCCCCATATTTTCGGAATTTTCCCAGGCTTTCAATCAACTTGTCTATTTATCTTGGGGTTGCTGGTTTTTTCATGGTTTTTACATATTTTGGGGGGATGAACATCCATTTGCCACCTGTTTCTGGTGTGCACCAGGGTACCAGGCTTTTGACCCATCACCAAATGGAACTGATGGCAACATGTCGTGGGATCATTGTTCAATGTTGAATCTCTTGGGTGTATCATTTAGCAATGAACATCCATGGCCACACTGCAACAATATGCAACGATCACGAATCCGCAAAACAAATGCAATCTCAGCTTGACGAAGAATGATGCTTCATTTTAAGATTTGCTCCCCAGATGTCTTTAGATGTCTTTAATGGATTTTAGGTCTACAATGTCCAACTATGATGACACTATGACTATGGATATTTTTTATGGTCAAGACTTGTAACAAAACCAACTCGCCATGGAATCATGGAATGCTCAATCCTCCAACTGGCCAAAACACAGTTTTGGTCCTCAGCTTAATGGACTGGCATCAGCCACATTTGCTGACTTTGTTGGGTCAATTGGGGATTGTCTGACAAAGCCAAGGCAGCCAAGGTAGCCCCAAATCGAATTGCTTCTCCTCAAGTTCTCCCTGAAAATTGCTGGGATACCGAGTACCTGTACCCCCTTTTTTGGGACAAACCGTTCTTATTCATTTTTTCAGTCACAAATCCTTCCAATTCACCTCAGCCCATGATCTCTGGATATGCCAATTGCAGCTGGAGGTCGCAACCCCATCTGTGTCGCAAGAATCCGTCCAACTTCGAATGGATCTCCTTGACCTATGCGCCCAGTGGCTCAATCTAAACACCCCGAAGTTCCGAAGGAACTGAAACGTGGTGCCCCATAGTTAGCTAAGTCAGTTTATAACAGGACAACTGGGGTTTGTGGTGCTTGTAACTATAGATAGTTGGGACGGATTAATAAACCAACAATCATGAACATAGATTTCCTTGAGAATAAACAGCCATGGTATTACCATGGGTACATGGTTTTCTCCAATCTTGAGCTTTCAATGCCCGGAAATTGGGACTGGAACATTTACACATCAATTCTTGGCAGGTGTTGCTTACTATTGTTCGGGAGAATGATGTGCAACCACAGCATCTTGATGGAATTCCAACGTCCCATGGGGCTAGTTAGCGGCTAACCAGGAGTTTCTCGAAGGGCCGGCAGTGGTCTACAAGCCGACTACAAGTTGGCTTAGTCATGGAATATCATTGCCCCACACCAGGCCATAACCCAAATCGTAAGCCCCCGAGAGTTACAACGAAACCACTTCCAAAAAGTGCGATGAATGTCCGCAGCTTAGAACCCTTCACAAACAGGAAAGCCCCTCAAATAAAGCCCCCCCAGCTTACCCTCTGGCAAACTAACATAGCTATAAAAAATCCCCACTTTTCATAGATAAATCAACTATAAATGGTAATTTTCAATAGCTATAGCTATATTTTAAATTACCAGAGGGTACTGTTCCCCCATTCATCACTTTGCACTGCTTGCCCGCGGCCGAAGTGCGTGTTTTCCGTTGACCTCAATGTTGCCCAGCGCATTGAGGATCACTTGCAGGTACTTCCTGTGGCTGGAGCGGTGGTCCACTTGGTTGTGCTTTACACTTTCCCATAGGATCCATGGTGCTGCTATATATGGTAACATGGATCCCATCAATATACCCCCAATGTTAGTATCTATACCAGCACCATGGATCCTATGGGTTTCTGATTAGATACATTTTTTGAAACCCCGGCTGGTTATTTTTTGGGAACATCTTGCTATACACTATACATGGAGATCATCTCGGAACATCTCGGGGAGAAAATCCAAAACTGTTCGTTTGCCAAGCTGCGAATCGCCCAGAGGATGATAGTCTCGTCTGAAAATCATTTGCCTCGGAGCAGGCAAGCCGCCGAGGTGCGATGGAACGGCAGGGAACCTGGATGAGAAGTTGCGGATTGCTTTTGCCATAAAAAAAACGGGGCTGTCACTTTGAAAAAAAAAACTCCCAACCGAAAGTAACAAAGCCGGCGATCAAAATGCAATCATGTTTTTTTTGTTTAATTTGTCTATATTTACCATAATTTCTACACAACTCAAATTCCACCCAAAATCATGTTGAACATATTAACATTATTAACCAACCAAATATACCAAATAAAAAACATGTAGCATCTGTAGCCACAGATTGATACTTTCCCAACGGTTCGAAAAACGGTCACCGAACGACCAAGCGGCTGCTCACTGTGTCGACCCTCGGCGCCATAATTGGAGGCATTGCAAGCCACCAGGCTCCACCCCTGGCGGCAATCCCATCGGAGTAACTGGATCTTAACCCATGACGGATCCTAACGGTGCTGCTATATATGGTGTGCCATGGATCCCATCAATACAATTCAATATACCCCCAAATAATGTTAGCATATATACCAGCACCAGCCGGATCCGTCATGGGTAATGGATCCAAATGGTAGAATTAAGCCATTTTTCTGTCAAACTAACAATAAGAAATAACAAATGGCTGGATAAATCCGACAATTGTAGATGATCGTGCGTGCAAACGCCCATGGATTTCCCAGCTCGCCATGTTTGTCACAGGTCCTGTCAGGTGAGAGATATTAAAACCAGTTGTTAGCACCTAGTTCTGCAGTCGCTGCCATTCTTGACAAATAATACACATTCAGAACTTAGATGGATAGTTTGATTTATCGATGTATTCTAATTCACTTAGGTGGATAGTCTGTAACCATGTACTTCGTGGAAGCACCCACAGCCGAAACCTCCCACTGGGTGATCTGGTCGCAAACGTTGGTGCACCTTAGACCAGTGGCACCACCAAGCCTATGAGGGACCGACTCGAAAAAAATACTATTCCCATCAAAGCACACCTTTTTCTCATTCATTTGTTATGTTATGACTACCAAGATGGTAATTATACGCGATGAATAATAATTATCGTATCAGTGCTCTGGCCTCAAGATGAATCAACTTGAAACACATCAACAAAACCACGGGCAATGAATTTAACGGTTGTTTGTCGCATTGAATTCGAAAGTCCTCCTTTGATCATCGATCCATTTTTCCAATCCCCAAAACACCATTGAAATGTTGCCGGCTTTTCAACAGTCATCCTTTAGGACTGGATCTGTCATGATGGCCCCCTACTACGTCTAAAATTCTTGGGCCACGGTCACTTTATATATATATACATATATATATATACACACATAGATGTGTGTGTGTTTTGTTCAATCCCACTCAAATCTCAAGGACCATGGGTAGTCATTTCACCTTCATTTCACATCACTATGGCACACTTCTAGCCCAATCTCCACTAGTAGCGATATGTCAGCGACCGTCCCAATACTGGTGGACTGGTAGTCCAACCATCCAAAACTGGAGCTGCCATAGCTATGGCAGCTCCTTGGCTCCCTCGCAGCGAATAAAAAATCACCCCAAAAACTATATGGTTTACCATGAAAACATGGTTGGTTCACCATAAAACCACCCAGAAAACACAAAACCGAAAATCGGTGGTAGAAACATGTTGAACCCATGGAATTTAATGAAAAACGCCGGCAAAGGCACAGAAGTCCAAAGTTACTCTCCAGGCTTCCCGAAGCCCCTTTGAAGACCTCCTCACCCGCCTCTCTCGGTTTTTGTTGAAGAAATCTGGAGAGGACATCTTATGGAAAATCCTGGTTGTTTTTTATATGTCTTTATTGTGAAGTAGGATCTTCTGTCAATTTTTGTCCCATCCAGGGGGGAAAAAAAACGGTCAAAGCGAGTCTAGCAGTGCTCGGTTTGACAAGGTGAAATCTTCAGCCAAAGTGAGGAGCCAAAACACAACAAGTAGAGGTTCAATCAAGGGCTGATGCTCCAGTCCTGGCAGTCCTGGCGACTAAATGCAACTAATCAACTAGTCTGTGGGGCCATATGGGGCCATAAATGCCATCTGTGCCACATAGGAGGGGTGTCCCACAACCATGGGACAGGCTGAATTCGGACAAACTCTTGCTGCTGCCTGGTAGTAGCGATCGCAGAAGTCTTCGTGGCCTCGAACATAGCAATGGAAGACCCAAACTTGATGTAGGAAGATCATGTCCAATGCCAGCTCCAACTGAATGAATACCAAAGGGCAGATCTTATCAAGACGCGCATTTATCAATATGATGAATACATTATCTACAAATTAAAACATCTATCTATGGTTCGGTTTATCTATCTGTCCATCCTAATAGATATAGTATACATACGTATGCATTCAGCACATACAAAATACACCAAGTCAGATGTAAAATACAGGAGATCCGTTTTTGTATCTTGCAAATAAAAATGGAGACACAGGTAAATAGATACACGATGTGTATATACTGTATATATATATTATATAAATACATTACATACTGGTTAACACACATAAATACATATACATCTACACATGGTTAAATTAATCAAGAATGTCTCGTATAATTTTTATATACACGCCACGCATATGTACATATGTATACACAAACACACATGTGTATATGCATAATAGTATGTAGATATAAACATATAAACATATATATATATACATGTACATGGGGGTTTCTTGACATGGGGCATCCCCAAGTCACCATCGGTTTCAATACCAACGTGGTCATGGATGGTCTGGGGGTACCTCCATTTTAGGAAGCCTGCATATATAGATATATGTGTGGTTAATTGTATAGATGTAGATATAGCTAGGATTTGTAAAACTAACGCTAAATTGTAGGAGATATAGATATGTCGATATAGTTGAGATACTAGATAGACATTGAATATATATATATATATATGTCTAGCATATATATATATATATACTACCAGTATATTTTGAAAAACAAAACATCATATGTCACATATATATATATAATAGTGTTTGTGTTGATCTAATTGATGCCACTGAATGTCACTACAGATCACCTCCATGCCCTCCAGCAAGACACCATCGATGCGCTGCGCCGCGAAGCGATCTGCAAAGTACACATCCAGGGTCTCCAGGATATCTCCGTGCTCCTGTCGGCATCGCCAGGTGCATGAGCCCATGGGCTATATATGACGGATATGATGTGATGTGGGACTTCACCATACATAGACTAAGGGCAATATCATGGGAAGATCATGGGATATATATATATATACATATATTATATATATATGGGGATCCTGAAAGGGGTACCCCCAGTCATCCATTTTAATGGGATTTCCCATGAAATAAACCATCCAGCGATAAAGGGGTACTTGAATGGAAATCCCAGCAAGATGATGGGGCACCTGGTCATCCCATTTGGATCCAGAACTGGGTCATCCAAAGGGGGAATCGCTGCCATATCTTCCGTTTTGGGCCAACGGATGTCCAAGAGATTTTTGCTTCGCATCAGTTGGCCCAAAACGGAAGATATGGCACATTCAACTTAAGCCACTGACGTGAAAAAAATCCTGCTGGCGGATGAATGTGAATTTCGCAAAGATATTCCGAATGGAAATGCGCAAGGCACCCATCAAATTAGAGTGGCTGTGCAAACTCAACCATATCTGTCACTAAACCGCCGATTTCTGATTGTAGGATATGTTGGGTGACATGGGGGCAGCAAGTAATTTCTGAGCCACCCCCACTAAGCCCACGAAGAAAACCAATGTTGGCGTATTATACTGTTATACCACCCGTATACTGTTGTTAAAACCAATGTTTAGTTCTTCATAGTTCAACATTTATTGGTGGCACTAGACTTTTGATCAATTCTGCCCCAGCCTAATGTCTGTTTCAGACTAATTCGGATCTAACAATACTGTTGGACTGTTGGACACATCATAATAATTCACTCACCTGAGCACACGACATTCCCCCAACAAAAACGCTTGAGTTCATCCCCCCCCAGTTCACTCACCATTTCCATCGACAACTCGTCCGGTTACCGTAGTTTTGACCGGTAACCGGCCTGCTCTAAGTCTCCGCAGATCTCGATGAAGCCAGCCGAGCGGAGTTCCACCATCAGATGGGGCGCCACGAGATTCATGGGATGAGGCGCCTGTCCGCTGCGAGATAGCGACACCTCTATTGGGGATGGTTGATGATCAAGGGATTACCATATTACTATATATTACTTATATACTGTGATCCATGAAAACTATGATGCTCAACGATATGGGATTACTTATTATATATATAATATGTGGAGGAAAAAAAAGGATATTAATATAGGCATTTCTGCGGATAGACTTCTTATTAGCTGAGATTGGGTAGAATGTCTTGATGTTTTCTGATGGTAAACGTGGGCCATGCAAGGCCAACTATGGCCACCTAGCAGGGGAGGTTCACCCACCACCATCACACCAGTGGGTTTGGCCTTTCGGCCATTCCTAAAGCCTTGGATGTGGTGGCAACTGGTCATTGCTAACCTCTGGCAATTTATATAACACAACTACGGGCAATGACCCATTTATAGATGATTTATATTGCTGTGGTCAATAGCTATATTAAAGTGCAGAGAGTAGTCACTGCTAATCAAGCTGCCACAAGAGTGAGCAACAGCAAGAACGGCAACCATAAAAAGAGCAACAGTAACAAAAACCACCACCACGAAGACTCGCTGAGTGGCAAATTACAGGGTTCAGTGGGCGGAGATATCTATGTTCATAAGTTTTCTCAAGCCCTGACCATTTTCTGGGATGATCATCTGTGAGCACGACAAGTGCCTGAGTAGGAGAGTTTCCCTTTATCCTTCATGAAAACAACCCTGACGCATTCAGCACCAAATTGAAATCGCAAGGTCGAAATGGTTTAAACATGTTTAAACACTAGAAGACTTGCACCCACATCTGAAACAAGCAAAAGACTAACTATAGTTATTTGCGTACCATAAACCATAGTTATTGGAGTTATGTTCACCAACTTAGCTATCGAACGGGGGCCTCACATTGTAGAAAATCATCCATTCAGGATTCAGAAATTGTATGATGTTTGCACCCTGAGGTGAACATCATTCCCAATCGCTGGCAATTTAGGGTCTTCCATTCCACTAAAAATTGATTTATATGATATCATAGCTATTGAACCATCACCATATCCCATATAAATATACCTATATAATTAATATGAATATATGTACGTATTCTCCCACAATTGGGGGTTTCCTAAGATGGTCAAAGCATCAATTCTGGGATTTTCCGAAAAGCGATCATCCCAGCTATTGCCGGCCTTGAAGATCAGTTGAGTTTCCCGCACATCCTGGGAGAAGGCTGGCTATAGCTGTGATGTTCTCCAGCTGATCATATCCAAACTCAACCAAGTGCCAAAGCTTGAAATCTGTATGATCAGCTGGCATAATAGCAACCACATCTGTATGAAAATCTTGTAATCAGCTTGTTTTTCTTGAAATCAAGCGAAGGATTTCCAATTTCCGTCCAAAAAAATAAGAAACGTGTAAAAACAGAACTAATATAAACAATTGCAGCCTGGAAACTCATCATATCAAAAGAGAAATCGTCTTTTTGGTCCCGTTTTGGATTGTCGGGGGCGAATTCAATGTCTGTTAAACCTACCTTGCGGCCTTGAGGGGCCTATGCTTGAAGGTCAGCCTCAAACGTTTTGATGTATCAGCTGGTTTATAAACCTATGGTAGATATATCACCTATATATGGTTGATGAATCAATGTCACGGCCTCGCAAGTGTGAAACACGGCTTGAAGCCAACCATCGGCAGACAGAGGAAACCAGCTGAGACCTGAGAATCACATGCACCATGAAACATGGCCTCGGGGGGTCCGCCATGGCGCCAAGGGACTCGGTTCTCACCCACGTTGCCACCGTTCACGACGGCCAAGGTCCAACTGAGCGTACCACACATGAAGTCCTGGGTGATCGGTGCCTATTGATAGGTTAATATAGACGCGTATGATGGCGTATGATGGCTTATATTGGCTTATGCTACTTGGTTTTGATAAGAAGCCTTTTTTGGGGGGAGGGATACCCATATACCAATCCAGATGTATTGGGTGGATGGGAGTCTCTTCATGGCTCAATCGGATCCCAAAAAATCTTGGACGAATCATAACTGGATAATGTTGGAGATATTGTGCTGTACCTTAGTGGACCTTAGTGAGTGAAAATGACAGTGCTTCTGAAACTGGTGGACTAATAGTCATCAGGTGGGTTCACAAGTTCACCCGAAACATCAGCGGGGTATTGGCAGGTTTTATGGTCAATCCATAGCTAACAATTGTAACTTTCAACACAGTCACTACAGTCTGCTTGGTGGTTGAGCCACCCCCCTAAAAAAATATGAGTTCGTCAGTGATGAAACTCCCAAAATATATGGAAAAATAACATTCATGTTCCAAACCACCAACCAGTCATGAATGCCATTGATTCTACCTTTGACTACTGTGTGGATCAGAGACTCTACTACTAATTACTGATTTCGTGGTTCCAATCGTTGATGTTTTTTTCGTAAGATCTACTCTGGCTGGGGGTCAGCCCAAACAGCAACAAATCCAACATGTTTCACCAACTTTTCCCGCAGGTCGTGTTTATGTCATTTAATCAACTGTTTGTTTTTGTATTTCCGAAAAGCATGTTTATCTAAAATGATGTAAAGGATCCGTGTCAGAGTTTGATGGTTTTGCATGTTCTACATTCATACAAAATGGCCAACATGATGTTTGGAATGCACTGTTTCACGGGTGGTTAGGGACTACTCCTGGTTTTCAATGTCTTTGGCAGATAAAAGTAGTAGACTACCAACTAACCTTCACCAAGGTTGTTGTCGATAAGGGAAGATAAGGGCAGCTACAAGAAGGTGCTGAACCGGAAGTTCGCTAAGTCAGATGTATAACTCCAATAACAAAAGCAATTTGTACTTAAACCATATATATATATGCATACATAGCCAAACTAAAGACCAACTTGGTGTAATAGCATGTCTTAGCTAACACCAATCATATAATATACGTATACGTATACATATACATAATTATATATGTATGTTTAGATAATGGTTGAGTATCTAAGTTGGTTTGATAACTACCTCCAATAGTATATCTATCTATATAAATGTATATGTAATTATATATATAGGGCTTATGGTAGTATACTATAGTCTGCCTATATTAATCTATATAGTACCCTTGTCCCGTGGAGAGGCGCTATGATCTCCATGGTCTTCTTCCCCAAGTTGTTCAAGCCATCCTCCCCGCCCACGGCGAAACCGGGCCATCGATACCTTCAGCGAGCAGAAAGGTTTGCGAGAATCAATGACTTGGACTTGCTTACCCTCTGGTAAACTGTCACAGAGCTATGGGAAATCACCATTTTTAATGGGAACATCCACTATAAATGGCCATGTTCAATAGCTATATGTTAGTTTACCAGAGGGTAAGACCCCGTCATTTTTTAAAGCCTATGGATTCCCATTGTTTTTCCCCATTTCTGGTGTATTTCCAGAAAGGGAAAGTAAAACATCACCTTGAACAGACCCAAGATGAGGATAGAATTGATACACGACATTTATTATGGAACTGGTAGGTGCACGAGATATACAGTATTATATACATAAATACATATATACACAAACTACAAGACTGCTATTGATATCTATTGATCAATTTTCAAAATAGTGGCAACTGAATATCCAGACAGGAATCTGCAACTGGTTTGGTCAGGAAAATGGTGCACGCAGTGCACGCTGCCTCTTCTCGTGGTCATGGCACCATCCCCTTTTTGGGATGGCATCATGGCACCATCCCCTCTAACCATCTCCCCAAATCCGTCCGTGCTGCTGCGCTTTGCAAAACGGAATCTTCGTCTCGTCGCTGTCATCACCTCCCATGACAAGTGGGGTGTTATCTTAAGATTATCAGGGTCAAGAATAATTTTTACCCTACTTATGTATATATATATATATATGTGTGTGTGTGTATGTATGTATATACATATCCAGGTTATTTGTCACGTGCAAAAATCAGGTTGCGTCTGATTTCGAACCTTAAACCATTCGATCATGCTCGATCCAACCAGATCCAAAAAGATCACCCATCGTTTCAATTACCCTCTGGTTATTTAACAATTCGCCGTGGTATAGATGGCCCATAAAAATAGATGGTTTACCTGGGTTTACCGAACTTAAACATGGGTGGATCTTTCCATGGCGAACTGTTAGTTGTAGCCAGATGGTGATTTGAGTCACGGCTGATCTCACTCTGATCGAGGGGTTCCCCCGAACACTGAGCTAACCAACCCACCAACCGGCCAACCTCACAGCACACTCAAGTATGTGTGTCATACCCCTGGCCCAGAAAATTGCAGGGTTGAACTTAGGAACTTAATGAGACTCCCACCAAATGGCACTTGAAATACCTCCGAAATCACAAAACACCAACTGAAACACCAACTGAAACCTAGCATCAAAATGGCGCGTTTGAAGTTTGAAGTGGCAAACTCCTCCAATGGGTCTAAGTCTTATAGCTTCAATGTTTTCCTGTCATGTTCCTTTCTTTGTTCAACTTGCCTGGATCCAGCTTTTCACACTCCCATTGGCCCAGGAAAAAGTTCTCGATGGCCTGACGACATACACTTATCAACTGGAGTCACCATCCCAAGCCAAAACAACATCCCTCTGACACCTGCTATCTCCATATAAAGCTGAAAAACTGATTGATATCTCGACATCTCATCGAAAAGCTGTCCAGGATCATCATCCGACGGAAAGCAAGGCTAATAAGTGAAAATCATCATATCCCATATACCATCTATATTCCCCAACTATATCTATATGTGTTGCTTAAATCTATCATATCAAGATTCATATCAAGATTCATATTGCCTCTTGGACTCTTGGACTCTTGGACTCTTGGTTGAAAGATGTTGAAACATGTTGAAATCCACCAGTCCGTCATAGTCCGTCCTCTCACGAAGCCGCCGGCCTCATAGACGCCATACTCATCTTTCCCAGTGACCTCGATTTCGCCCTCACCATGACCTTCCCCTGGCGCCGTCTCCCGGATCCAAAAAAAAACATATGAGGGGATGCGAAAATGTGGGTACCCCAAACCATTGGTTTTCCCATCTATATGTATAAATGTACATATATATATATATATTATATATATATGTAGTCAATAATAAAGCATTTTGAATGATCTTGGGGTACCCCCATTTGAGAAAACCTGCATATAAGTGGACAGAACCTTTGAAACCTCTGCGCAAAATCTTCAAGTAGAAGTCTTTGATCGCAATGGCTCTTTCCTTCCGGCCCCTCCGTCAATATGACCAATTGCCATGACATGCCATGACCATCTTCTTCAACTCACATCGGACCCCATTTGCAGATGGATGAAGGAGCCATCGAGGTTCTTGTTGGTGCAAGGGAACTAAGCCTCAAACATCTGATTGCCATCAAGATTGCCAGTTTGGGGTATGCACCATTTTCCATAAAATCACATGAAACCATTTGAAACCCATAGATTCATTATTGGTAAAACGCCTATATAAAAAGTCGATTTTCATGATGGACATATCTTGGGGTATACCCCAAAACACAACCCCCAAATAGATAGAACATGAAAGAACAGCTGGAAATACGAAGTAAATATTATCGAACTAATACATCCTGCCACACTTTTCGGCATCTCTTGAGACTCTTACAATGTGGTGCCGAACATAACTTAGATAGCTAAGTTGGTTTATAAACCATTAACTATTATAGTTTAATCTAGTTTAAGCATCATGAATCATAAGCCATAGTTATTGAACTACTATTGAACTACTATTGAACTACTATTGAAGTACTATATAGATCTATTGGACTACAGTGGCCCCCCAACTTAGCTGCACCTGTGAGCTCGATCAGGATGAAAGGCACCTTTGTCTCGAGGTCTAGTTCTTGCAACCTCCTGTGGACATCGGAACTTATGGCTTTCAAACAAGTTTTTGACCATGATACTTTGGTTATAATTCTATATTTGTTTAAATATATATGGTTATGGAATCTGTATACCATGATACTATAGTTTTGGAATGAACATCTAGAGGAATTCATGGCTTTCAAAAATAAACTGTTGTAAAAGTATACGACTGTTCTACGACTCTTATCTTTGCATATGGCACGTACATGCGCCATCTAAAATGCACAAATACTCATGCTCATTTGAGAGGTTTATGCCTTTTGAGGTGGTATGTTCTTCAAGTGAACGTCGTGCACTAGGCTTAGCATTTTTCCACGTGTTGCGTCTTGAAGCGAAAACCCTGAGCGTATTACCCCTGGAAATGAAACTAAACATCGAGAAAACATGTAAATACAATTCTGTGAGGATACCAATACGCGTTTTGCGTAAATCCAGCTTAAAATGCTATGAGCCAAAAAAACACAAAAACAGAAAACTGAAGATCCAAGTATAGATATATGTAGATGTGTCCTGTAGTCCATGAAGCCAAACCCCGGACTCCATTTCCCAAATCTGGAACATGCCAGACCCTTCAGAACTTCACTTCACCAACAAAAATTATCAAAAAATGGTTCATGTCACCTACAAACATATGGCTTTCTTTGCGAACAAAGAGTTTGGGGATCAACCAAAATGCGGATAAGTCGAGAGAATAACCTTGCTTGCAAAAACTTGGCGCTGTCCATTGCCTTTCAGATTTCAAAAGGGCAACCCTTTTCGAGCAACCAGGGTCAATTTTAAATTTTCCAATCTCAAATACGGTGCAAACAATACCTGGTTTAGTACCCTCTGGTAATCAAACATAGCTTTGGAAAATAGCCAGTTTGTAGATGATTTACATAGTACAGATTGCATGTTTTCCACAGCTATGTTCGATATTGCTAGATTAACGAGTAGGTAACATATGTAAATACCCCATTAATAGGACACAAGTAGAATAAAGTATAGCAAGTACCAAAAAGGTAGACACGTGATCGTGTTTCCAGGATATTATAACTGTTGTTCTTCCCACCAGGTTTCCAACTTTTCTATCTTTAACCAACTTCATCAACTTCCAATTCGAACGTCCTGAGTCGGGTATGAACCACGCTGTTGAAGTCTTCGTCTACCAGGATAGCCCTGGAAACAATGCGGTTGAAACGATGGGTTTTTTGTTCCTCCACTACGGAGGTTTCCTGTAAAAGTTCCATCATCCAATGCAAAAGCAAATAAAAACAACATGTCTTTCTCCCCCTGGTCGAACCATCATAAATGATAATTGCAGATCTTGTCCTAATACGTGTTTTTTTGTTAAAGAATATGAGATGCATCCTTTTTGTCAGGGCCCCAATTCACATAATTCATGACTACATCACTCAACTTGGGATGCTTTGGGGCAGCTTCGTTGTACGGGGAAGCTGTTCAAATCTCCAACGTATTTTCACGACAGTCGACAGGTGGTTTTTCGCCACCCCTCTGAAAAATATGAGTCAGTTGGGATGATGAAATTCCCAATGTATGGAAAGTCATAAAAGCCATGTTCCAAACCACCAATCAGATAATCAATGAATCAATGCCTTAGTTTGGTTATCACTATACCATTGAGAATAGATACAACATTATACAGCCATATTACCATAATCACTAAAATTACTATATATTTAAATCTAAAGAACATATCACATCATATCACTATACCATGTTTGGGGCAGCTTCAAAACATGGAAAACATGGCTTATGATATGTTATGATCTATCCCATAGTGGCAATCCCGGCGGCCTGGCTGCTCCCTCACCACTGGATGGTGATTTTTTTTGTGATATCTACCACCAAAAAAATGAAAAGCGTTGGAAAAGACATAAAGCCTACTAAAATAGTGATTGATGACTTTTCTTTTGGGGGGATTACTACATCTATCATTTTGTACAAATGGTTGTGAAGCACTGCGATGCGAAAAAAGAATCCTGACCCTTCCGGCCCTCAACTTGGAACTATTTGGAACTGCAGCTTCCCCGGATGTTTCTGGTGCTTATTATGAGAGGAAGGGGGTCAATTAATTAGAACGTTCTTTCAACCTACGAACCCATTCTCGCACTTGAGATATCGGTATTTGCAGAAATACACCACCGTATTTGAATCTTTTTGGATCATAATGCCTGCCATCTGCCCCAGTTAAATACCAGCCTGAATCCCTAATTGAGTACTCTCTCTCTCTCTCTCTCTCTCGTTCGCCATCCCAAGGGATCCAACGCGCTGCCACCGCACTGAGGAATGGGCTTGTCTAGGTTCACTGGTGTGGTTGGGTCAGGCTCCGGCTCCTTCCACGATTTTAAAATCGGTGCGGTATGAAGGTCTTGCTGATCTATACTTGTAAAGACCGCCAAATCATACATGTATCATACATGCTTTCAGATCCACTTTTCGGATCTTGCGGAAGACTTGAAGAAAATTGGAAGATAGGTTGGAAATGAACCTTTCAACACTGCTTGCTCTAAAAAAACAGCGGCTGGAGGTATTTCCATATCCACATCCCAGTCCAAATCCCAGGCCGCCTGAGCACCCTGGACGGAGGCACAGCAACCCATACTTTTTGTTTGGCGTCCTGGCTGACAAGATGCTGGTCTCAGCTATAGCAGCTATACATCTCACTGGATTGCTTCGATTCAAGCAAAATTTGACTGGAAACCATGATTTATACCCAAATACAGTGGGTTAGACCAATTCTGGGATTTACCCTTGCTTGTAAATTATTCAATCCAAATAAAACCAGACTTCAACCCCAAGATGGCTACTCATTGATAAGTTGAGCCGCTCATCCTTAACACGTGCTCGTTGATTTGGGTCCATCATTTGGGTGGAAAGGCCGTACATGTCTCACCAGCCATCCAGGGTTATCATGTACATGGATGTGGACTTGGATGAACGCTGAAAGAGAGGTATTGCCTGGAAAAAACATGAAGAAACTATGCCAAAGACGTATTGATATACCATCTGGTTATTTAACATAGCCATGGAAAATCACAATTTTTCATAGGTAAACCGGTAAACCTCTATAAATGGGCCATCTGTACCATGGCTATATTAAATAGCCAGAGGGTAAGTATATAGATCATGTATGATCCTGTAGGCAAAACATACCAAGAACAACTGAAAGACCAGTGGTCGACCTGTAATCCGGTGGATCGCCAAGTTGGCCCTACCTCTCTGGTGGAATATAGGAAGCTCATGGGAAGGGGGATCCCATCATCAGGGGTTCTCAAAAAAAACATAGCCATGAAAAAAAATATGATACCACTTCCGAAATGAGTCATGAAGGCAGCTATATAATAGTTGTGATAGGTTTGTTTCTAACCCTCTGGTAATTTAACAGTTTGCTATTGAAAATGGCTATTTATAGTTGATTTTACCCATTAAAAATGGTGATTTTCCATAGTTATGTGACAGTTTACCAGAGGGTAACCCTCACCTGCATCTTCTACGTTTGTTTACTGCTTCGACCAGGGATCCCCATGGATCCCCCAGGTATCGCGGCCCCCACCTGCTTACACTGCGACGAGGTACCAGCCGAAGCGATGAAAAAAAAGTGACAGTTGTGGAATTTCCCGGTTTCAAATGCGATTTATGGGGATTATGAGGATCGTTGAGGCATTGTAAATTGCTTGGTTGGTGATTCAACTTGAATAGTGAAAAACCATGTTCAAGATCTTTGGCAGCAAACTATCCCATGTTGAGGCGTGGACCATTCCCAAATTTGTCAGCTGTCACTGCAATACAATCAGCAAATTAAATTCACATGGTTGAATCGCCACAGGAGTCATGACTCAACAACAAGGTCAAAGGCAAGCACAGGCTGACCAACTTTCGTTGTTGAATTGAAATGCAGCAGAAAGGTTCAATTGTTCAGGTTTCTTTTCAGATCCTTTGCTGACTCTTCACTAATTGAAACATAATCCCAACGACAAAACATTGCCCAAATGGAAGTAACACTTCGAACCGATACCATTGCGGCCAGAAATTGCTACAGTGAAGGTTGCTGAGTCCATGGTGCATTGAATGTAGACCATGACGCTTGAAAACCTGTGACTTCCCCAGATTGAAACATTGTGACAATGCAGCCTGAGTTTGAATCTCTTGGTCTTGATGCGACATTTCAATTTCTGTCATGCTCTAATGCTCTTGTTTCTGTGGCAGAGCTTGTGCAGTAAATGCGCCAACCATGGGAAGCAACCCACCCCACAACAAAATAGTGTAGTTGTATAATCACGCTGCAAAAGACTGGGAAAAAGGAAGCCACCGAATGGGTTTAGTTTATTTTTTTTGCCGCAAGCGCACGCCTCAGTTTTTTTTTCCGATTTCTTGAGCTGCAACTGTCTGCAACAGGCATTTTGCCAGAGACCAGTTGAACAGAAATCCACGCTGAAACCAATGAAATGACGATATGCTGTACAAAGGCCAGCGCCTCCAAATACTCAATTCCCATCGTGTGTCACCCACCTGTTCATCGCTGACGTGGGCCTAAAGGAGATTTATCTTGTGTATCCGTCTATCCATCTTCTCATCGACCCTCCTGGAAAAATCAAACATGGCATTTGAACGTTTCTACTCGATGCAGGTTTTATTCAGGTTTTAATGGGAAAACCATCTATACATGAGGGATTTTCCACTGCCATCTTTG